TTCTCCATTTTTCCACTTTTATCTTATTATTACTCATCTCTTCCTTCCTTGTTTTCTCTTTCGCTCCTCTCCTTCTTCCTCTTCAGTTCCTATCTTTATCTTTTCTTCCTCTGTTCTTCGTTCTTCTTCCTTCTCTTTCTCTCTCTCTTCCTCTTCCTCTTTCTCTGTTCCTCTTTCCTTCTCTTTTACCCCCTCTTTTTCTTCTTCTTCCTCTCCTCTCTTCTCTTCATTTTTGTCCCCCATTCGCCCCTCTTCCCTTCTCTCCTATTCCCTCCCCTTCGCCCCCCCCCCCGCCTCCCTCTCGTGACCTTTCGTGAGAGCTTGCCCGCTCTAGGCCACGCCCCTCTCCCCCCTTCGCTCCTCCCCTCACCCTCATGACCCCTCCCCCCTCCCCCTCCCCCCCACTCGCCCACCACCATCATCAATCGCCTGTCATTTTCTCATTTCATTAATATTATCTCCCATTTTAACCTTTTGTTTCTTGTTTTTCATTTTGGTGTGTGTGTGTGTGTGTGTGTGGTGTGGTGTGTGTGTGTGTGTGTGTGTGTGTTTGTGTGTGTGGTGTGTGTTCAGCTTACGTCCGTGTGTGTGTGTATGTGCGTCTGTTTTATTTTCTTTGTCTTTGTTTTTTTTACTTCTTGTCTTTATTTCCGCATTCTTTTCCGCGTTCCTGTCTCGTCTCCTTTTTTTTTTTTCTTTTTCTTTTTTTTCATTCCGTTCTATCTCCCACTTTTTTTGTGTGGGTTAGATTAATCATTCTTTCTATCTCTCTCTCTTTCTTTCTCCTCCTCGCTTTCTCTTCCACTCCTTTTATCTCTTCTTCTACTTTTTTCCTCCCCTTTCTCTTTCTTTTACTTATTTTTTGTTATATTCGCCTCCAATTCGAGATATACAAAGGGTATAGTGGGTATGCTGAACGAAGTATGTGTCATGTGCGATCGGGTGGATATACACACATAGTATAACACATACTACATTCAGCATACCCGCAAATGCCCTTTTGTAAATCTCAAAATGTAGGTGGATATAACAAATAAATAATTGGAAGAAGAGATAAAAGTAGTGGGAGAGAAAGAGAGAGAGAGATAGAAAGGATGATAGAATGGAAAGGGAGAGAGAGAAAGAAAGAGAGAGATAGAATGGAATGATAGAAGGAAGGGAGAAGAGAGATAGAAAGATGAATAGAATGAAAGAGAGAGAAAAGAAAGAGAGAGATAGAAAGAATGAATAGAATGGAAAAGAGAGAGAAAGAAAGAGAGAGATAGAAAGAATGATAGAATGGAAAGAGAGAGAGAGATAGAAAGAATGATAGAATGAAAAGAGAGAGAGAAAGAAGAGAAGATAGAAAGAAATGATAGAATGGAAAGAAGAGAGAGAAAGGATGATAGAATGGAAAAGAGAGAGAGAGAAAGAAAGAGAGAGATAGAAAGAATGATAGAAATGGAAAGAGAGAGAGAGAAAGAAAGAGAGAGATAGAAAAGAATGATAGAGTGGAAAGAAGAGAGATAGAAGAAAGAGAGAGATAAAAAGAATGATAGAATGGAAAGAGAGAGAATGATAGAATGGAAAGAGAGAGAGAGAGAGAGAAAGAGAGAGATAGAAAGAATGATAGAATGGAAAGAGAGAGAGAGAGAAAGAGAGAGATAGAAAGAATGATAGAATGGAAAGAGAGAGAGATAGAAAGAATGACAGAATGACTGTAGG